GGGTTGGTAGATGGTATGAGCTATGAATATATGATACCCTTACACGCATATTGTATGGACTGGAAACGTGCATGCTATGTGTTGTATCCCGTTATCCTGACAAGACAATTGCTTATTTTGTTCATCTGACTTCTTATTTTGAGATCTTATTAACTTAAATAACTAGCATAAACTCCCACGGGCTCATTCGTAGCGCAAGCAACCGCAAACACTACACTGTGCATAGTTACTCGTGAGAACTTTAACTAGCACTGTAACGGTGTTGCACCCCTAAAAGTAAAAATCCCCTAAAAAAAAGAATAAACGAATGCAAGAGCGACAATAATAACAATTACAAGTATAGCGTGCACAGGGCCTAGTGTTTTCCCACCCGTAGCATAGTGTCTGTCACGAGCAAAAAAAAAAACGCAAAAAAATTATTAAACGACGTGGGCAGGATTTGAACCTACGCGGCCGAAACCATATGATATCGCATTGAAGCATTCGAGTCATACCCATTAACCACTCTGGCACCACGCCTTGTTTATTTGTTGAAGGGAGCGGCCTACAAGACATAATATACCATTCCAAAAATTCCTGTGAATATTGTAAGACATCCGTCGTGGAGCGCCAACCATCTATGAGAATTTTTTATATTACTAGTTTAAATTGTGTCGGTCGCTCCTTCCCAATTATTTTTTCAATGTGGTGTTGGATTATTGGGAAGGTGCAACCGACTACTTGTACTATTGTACGTAAAGAAAGTGCAGCGGGAAAATTAAAATAAATCATCGCTTTAATTGTTATCAATCCAGCTTGCTATTTACACCCAGAAGCAAACCCAATGTCGCCCATTACGGCAATAATCCCACATAAACACCTTACACTAATCATGACACATCTATCCCCATCCCCATCCCCAAGACCAGAAAAACACCTACCACCTACTCATCCTCCTCGCCCTCAATCATCATCCCCCTCGCATTCGGATTCCCCAACAAATTCCTCCCCCTCGGCACCCTAACATCCTTAACCCCAAAGCACCCAAACACCTTCAAATTCTTCACCTTCGGACAGCTGCGCCACAGACACCCAACCACGAAATCATCCATATCCCCACAGAAACTCGCATCCACCGTCTCGAGCTCCGGATACGTCTTCCCCTCTCCAAACGCGCGCTCAAGCGCCGCCCTCTCAATATGGCGACAGGAGAGTATATTCAGCGACCCGAGGTGACGTCCGGAGTGCGCCATCAGCGCTTCGAAGCCGGCGGAGCAGAGACCGATGCGGTCGGGGTTGTCGCGCTTGAGACTGTCAACGTGGCGGCACTCGCCTAGATCGTCGACGCGGAGGGCACGGTTGCGCCAGCTAGTAAAGAGCGCGGCGAAGGCGGCGTCGGTGAAGGTTTCGTTGCGCTTGAGGCGGAGTTTGGAGAGGGAGGTGCAGTGGGTGTGGATTGCGTTGAGGAGAGTGTCGTCGAGGTCCGGGATGCCGACTAGGGAGAGGGTTTTGAGGTTGGCGCCGAGGCTGGTGATGATTTCGACGTAGGGTTCTGTGATGGTAGGTTTGTAGAGTTCGAGGGAGAGGTGCTGGAGGTTCTTGAGAGCTGCGATGTGGTAGAGGCCTGCGCTGGTGACTTTTTGGTTGTGGCAGATCTTGAGGCGGGTGAGATTGGGGCAGAGGTCTTTGATGGTGCGCATGGCTTCGTCTCCGAAGGATACATCGGTATGGTAGACCTTGAGGGATCGAAGGTGGGTGCCCTTTGCCATCAGAAAGCTCGTCCAGTGCTCGTCGTCGATTAGGTTTGCGCCGTGTAGACTCAGGGACTCCAATTCCACCGTGGAGGCGGTCAAGTAATCCATGACCTTCTCCTTAAACTGGATTGCATTTCGCAGGCGTAGGTGTTTTATGGTTGGGGCGACCTGGAATATCCGAATGTAGTCGTCGGATTTTAGTTTGGCGCCGTCATACGCAGTGATATTTGCGACACCTGGCTTCAAGAATAGGTCCAGAGTTCTGGAATCCAGCATGCGTCTCTTCGACAAGAGCTGCGCCAGCTTATCCACAAGAACTGGAGGCAGGTCGCCAAAATCTTCTGCTTGGTGGACGTTGTTCGCAAGCGTACTCACACATTGCGATACCAAGTCTCTTGCACCACGAGCAGATGTGCCCTCAAGGCGTTCGCTTTCGATGTTGCGACGGTTGTAACGGGCAGCAGTTTTCCGCTTCTTCCTCGGACCCCCTTCTTCATCGTCCAAGTCCTTAGTACATTTCATACAGAGTAGCCCGCCACCAGGCCCTGTGCGGCTGTAAGGGGTAACGGAAAACCGGATGTAACAGATCTGGCAGTTCTCAAACTGGCCGATCTTTGGAAGGCTAGATGCGCCGTATAGGTCTTCGTCAACATCGTCCGAGTCGGAAAAGTCCATGCCTTTCCTTTGAGCTTTTTGAAACGTCTTGGAGGCTTTGGCTTTGGCGGCAGCCTTTTGAGTAGCTTTATTCCTCGCTAGCTGGGCTTTGGTCAACGGCTTCTCCTCCAAAGGTGTTTTTTCTTCGAGCCCTGCTTCCTCCGACTGCTCCCGACTATTCTCAGCATCCCAGGAGGCCTGCGCTGGAGCGCGATGCGCTTGGGCATCCCTTCGAATCCTGTTGGCGTCGATATTGTGAGACTGAAGGTGTTAGTGGCTATGAAGAGGCAAGGGTCTGGCAGTGGTGGTGCAGCTTACAGCAAGAAAGTCTGTCAAAGCAGATGTTCTAATAAATGGATTAGTTGAGAGGTTCACAGAGTATTCAGCTCGACGGCTATACGTACGGTCCCTGGATTCGTCGTTGACGAACGACGGGAGGACCCTGATTGGGGCCACCGGGAGGAGGAGGTGGTGGAGGATTCGACCTTTGTATGTGAGAATGGATTCGTAATGAGAGTGGGTGTGATTAATATTGAGGGCTCGGCTTACATTTTGGATGGATCGGATTAATGCAGACAGTGAAGTGAGGCTTCTGACTTCACTTCTGCCCAAACGCGGCCTTCTTATAACCTTTGGTCCAATAATCAATGAAAGGATGGGTGGTCTGTGATTGTGAGACTGCTATGGACGACCCAGGATATAGCCTAGGTATTGAGGGAAGTATGTGAGGAAGTGTAGAAGGTAAGAAGATAACAAATAAATGAAGCCTTTGAGGATTGAGGACCCCTAGAATATAAGGAAGAGAAGTCAAAAGATGAAATGTAAGTGAAGGGAAGTCGTGGGGGAGCAGTTTCGATGGGGGCGAGGTACACAGGTACAAAGGTACAAGCTTCAAAACTGAAAGGCCGAAAGGCTTATCGATAGGCGGGAAGGGACGGAGTACACGGAGGGTAGTTTAAGTGGAGTATTTAATTTAATTTCAGCCAATGAGAGGCCGCTGTTGCCTAAAATTCGATTGAAAAATGGTAATTTAGGTCACGTGAGACCGCGACAGGAGAGACCTATTTGGGTTAACGCGTAGGGGGGAAACTGGGACAGATGTAGCAAATGTAACGAGTTAGTTTGTTGGCTGGGTGGCAATGAGGGGAGAGTAGAGGAGAAGTAATACGGATGATCTCTCTCTTTCTTCCTCTTATTCTATCCTCTTCATCAAATAAATATCTATGAATATATAGTATTTCAACTTCAAGATCCTTTATACTGAGCGACCAAGGCTTGCGCCATTGTGTACCCATTCGTACTCAATCCCACCTTTGTTGGCGGTCGAGTCAGCATTCGTTACTTCTACCCGTCGCCGCCTGACAACCTCCTTTGGCTGTCTTTGGGCCACTACGAATCCCGTCGTTTCAGTCCCAGAGTGAATTCATCCTGACTTCATTCATTCCTTCCCTAAAAGCAACTAGCACCTGTCTGCGCTGGTCTTAGTCGGATTCTCAGCCTGGCTTCACCTGGCCGTATCCAGTACCGACCTCAACTTCCACGACTCTGTTCTTTTGTCCAGCGCAAAGACTTTTCAAGTTTCCATCAATCCATTGTCGTTTTGGGACACCCATTCCGGTCGTTATTTTGGTCCCAGATCTTTGAGAGACAGATGTAAGTAGACTCAATCTATATATCGTCTTATCTCCAGAATTCGGGGTTCCTTATCCACTCCGAGCATCTGATCATTGGACTGGGCTGACATCATTCCTCTCCAGCAACCATACGACCTTGAACGAAGAGGCTGGGCCTCAATACAAACATGGTCGCTCTCAGTACAAGACGTCGGACTAGAAGTTCCATGGCAGCCACCTACGATGGTGCTGGGGATGAGAACGACATGGATCCACTGCAGGTCGCTGAATCAATCGACCGGACTTCCTTGTCATCGGCATCTACCACACATGAGAGTAGTGGTTATTCTACCCCCGCTACAAGTGCCGTTACTACCCCAGCTCAGGCGAAAGATGAACCCTCAACGTAAGTGCTCATATCAATTTTCTTGTGGGCCGGATTTTGGGAATCAATGACATAGGCCCCTCTCGTTCTAATGCTAATCAGAAGTAGTCGCAATACCAGGCGCCGCATCGCCTCATCTCTTGCGCACGAGGTGTCTTCGGCTACAGCCACCGTGGTTCACCGTGCCAAAGCACTCCGCAATAGCGGATTTGCCCTGAATCCAAGTAGCAGCAGAAAAAGGTCCCACCAGGTGTTGGACAGTGAGGAGGATGATGATGATGAGTTCGAAGACAACTCTAGGGATGCTCAGCTCGCGAGGGCATTGCAGAAGGAAGAAAATGAACGCAGCGAGCTTGTTAGCACAGAGCCTCAGACTTCTCTCGGAACTAGTCGACGTGGACGACCTCGGAGATCAGTTTTGCCCATGACGGACTTTGCAGACGAGTTTTCGGAGGGTGAAGATGCTTATAATCCGCCTTCAAAGAGGACCAAGCTATCTGATGGAAAGGGCAAAGCACGTGCGACAGTTCCTGACTCCGACGAACAATCGGAGTTTACTGACGGCTCCTCCTCTACGGATGAGAACGATTTCCCGGGTTTTCTCAACCTCACGGACGATGAGGAAACCCAACCACCTCGCCGTCCTGTTCAAGCTCGCCGCCGCTTCGGCAATAACCCGTCCCAACGCCGAAGTACCTTCCAACAGCCATCTATTCCTGCTGTGGAACCCGCCGACTATACTGCCCCTATTCAACAATCCGATTCTGCTGGCGAGGAGGGCAGTAATGATGACTCTGAGATTCCTGATTTTACCACGATGACACCGGCACAAAGAAGAGAATATAAGTTGGAGAGCAGGGCCAGGGCTGCCCGCCAAAGATTGGAGACCCATCACCCAGAGCTTTTAGTGATGTGGAAAGAGCTTAGAGATCTGCCAAAGATCCCACCCACCAAAGCAGAGCAGCCTACAAATATATCGAGGGAGTTGAAACCATTCCAACTGGAAGGTTTGAATTGGATGAAGATGATGGAGAAGACTAAGTGGGGCGGAGGATTGTTAGGCGACGAGATGGGCATGGGGAAGACGATCCAAGCGGTCTCCTTGATTATGTCTGATTATCCGGCCAAGAACCC